TCTGCACGATATACTGTTGCGTATGAAAATCGTGAAATAATGCAGCACAACAAACGAGCAACAAAACGAACGAACAAAAATCAACAAAAAATGATCGTTATTCTTGTTCGCTTATTTTGTTGTTATTTTCGTTTTCTGATCTGGTCGGATTGACGAAGCGATCATCAGTTCAACGAAATACACAACGATTTTAGACGATCAAAGTAGCTTTTCAGTATATAAAAACACTAAGATTATGTCGTTTTTTTTTTTGTGTACAACCATATTTACGGTAGTTGTAGTTTTGAATTTTTCTCATAACAAAAAATATTATTATTATTTAGAGTCAAGCTATTAGCGTTGTGCTTTTCTAGTCTTTTCTCGGTTCTTTTTTCTCTTCTTATGACTTAGAGAGAACAATTCAATGATTCCCATTAACTAACACAGCCAAGCCGAATAGAAAATGACAATGTGTTTCTTGCGATGGAAAGATAAACCATAATAATTTTTGGGCTTACGTCACACAGAGCTCTCTCGAATTATGCGTATGAAGGTAAGACTTTGGAGAAAAGACTTCAACCCAATGCGAAGGCCGTGAAAACCAAAAAACGATTATCATGGAAACGTTCATTGAATTTATTTCCTTGATACACGAAATCAAGCTTAAAGATAGACGCCAATCTCACGCAATCCATGCATTGATTTATTCGATGATTGGATATCGACCGTCAATGGAATAATTATAAAGAATAGAGGAAGAATTACAATACATTTCTGATGAATTTTATGCAAAAAAAGATGTTTTGCATATTCCTTGTCGATTACAAGCACCAAACAACTTTATTTGGATTTTAATGATATCGCTGATTCAATCAATCTACATGATTCATTCAATAGATCCTTCTAAGAAATCTTCAGTCTTTCACCTCAGCTCAATTTCGTAATATTTTTACTGATAATCGCGAAGTTTTGCCGTGTATTTTTTCCTCTTCGATGCATCGAAAATCGCAGGCTTAGAAACCAGTTTTTTTTTTCAGTCAATGAGGCTTGTGTGCCGCGCCCAATATGAAACAAATGCCAATCAAACGAGTTACATACGCAATTGAAACTTTTCCGCAAACGTTTGTGTTTTGATTACTCAGAATAAAAAATGTGCTTTTAGATTCAAAAATTTTTCGACTATGAATCACAACTATAGCGAGAGGAAGTACAGATAAATGGAAATCTTGTGACCTTCAAAATTTCTAATGAAATTGAAATGATGCGTTTCGCCGTAATGATCACGTCACGCCGAGTAAAAAACGCAATACTGTTCTTATCATTTTTGTTTGCGGCGAAGTGAAATACGCAATCTCAACACAAAAGGCATAGCTTTACATTGGATGTGGTCAAATCTGCTCAAATATCGTTCATATCGATTATGTCTATTTTGAACTCTGGCTAATGGCACCAAACCTTTAAATATTCGCGCGATAATCGCATGCGATGTGTAGTATTAAGCGTTGATGCCTTGAACGACATAGGGCATAATGACATAATGGCACTTTTAACGTAAAATCGAAATAAAAATAGCTATAGATATCATCATACATTCCCGTAAACATCCGGTTGAAGTTCAAAGAGATTGTTGGCATTCAAGCGTTAGTGAATTTTATCAGAAATGGCTTCGGTCAATATGTGTTTTGACGACATATTTTTTTTCAGGTGATTTCACTTCCGTTGCAGGAAATTTTGCAGGCGCATTGAGAAAACAAGTCTCCAATATTTTGTTGATTAACCTAAACGTTGTATTGTTCACTTGATAACTTCTACCGAACTGTTCTTCTGAGACATCACACACGGTTTTTGAGTGGATCGAACAATGTTTGAAAATCTTCAACGGTGCGGACACTTGATGTTGTCAGGCTTCGTGTTTGAGGTGAGGTCGGCCGGCTTCAATTTCTCTTCGTTATTTTTCGTGCAAACTGAAACGTCTAAACAGGATATGGCAACTGTACACAAAGGTGCAGTTACACGAACTGATTTCATTACTTTTCAGTGTTGCTGATTTTGGTGTAACGATATGTAATATGCCGGGGCACAGAATACGAACACAAGCATATGTTTCATGGTGGATATTTATATGGTGGACCGCGTAACCTGATATTGACAACGATCGATCCCGTTTTCGGTGTAGAAACATGCTCCTCTCTCTCTCTCTCTCTCTCTCTCTCTCTCTCTCAAGACATACGCTTACAGTCAACGGTGCGGCCATATCTTAATCGAGCGATTCGAGAACGTGCGCACATAACATCAGCCTCTCAGAATAGTCTGTTGACGATTTAAAAATATTTTGAGGCGATGACATCACTTGAAAAATGGCTTCTTGAGCAAGCGTTTGTGTCGAAACTGAAGCGACATTGCCACACAGGACCTTTCTAAGTCTAACATTCTGTGTACGGAATTGTGTGAGCTGCTCACTCAATATTTAAACTAGATTTTTTAGGCTTTGGGAAATGATGTTGAAACATGAAATCTCATCGGAAATTTTCCTCTAGTGGACGTGCACAAAATAAACTCTCGCGTTCTATACATTTTGTTTTGTTTGCGATTAAATTCTGTTAACAACACTTTGAATATCAGAAACGGAATTGTAGTCAATTGAAAAATAGAAATCAAGACTCAAATTGATAGGAACGAGCGAATGTCCGAAACATGATAACTATATTTTGCCGAGATCAAATGCTCTTTTTTTTATATTTCATTTAGTTTGTTATTGTTTTCTGTTACTTGTCTGTGACTCACATTCCGAATTGATAGATTAGACATGAAAAGTACAAGCGAAATACGAACGAAATAATAATTATCATTCATATGGCAATTCAACACACGCCCATATCTAGAATAACGCAAAGGCAAATCATTAATTAGAATTGAAAAAAAAAAACGCGTTGCTATTTCTCGTGATAAATTTGCTCCTGAAAAACACATTCACATTGATGGAAGACAAATGATTGTGTCATGTGTGTTGTATAGATGCTTATTAGTTGGGCATCGCGAATAAATGTCAATTCGGCCGAACGAACAGTGAATGGAAAATTAAATAACAAAACTATGATTAGTTTGTGTCTAAGCGTTAATTTACATCTCTGTCTGTCTCTCTCATCTCGCCTCAATCATTGGCTAAAATTTAACGTGGCGTAGTTTTCAATGTCCATGAAGCAGTGCAAATTGCTATGAACAAGCTCATGTGGCCAGTCATCGGCAACAGCAAATGATCAGCAGTGAAATATTAATTTTAAATCAATACATCGATAGGATGTGCTTTGGAAAAATTCACAATTTGCATTGGCAAAGTTAGTTAGTTTTAAGGCAAACGAAAGAAAAAAATCAGAATCTATTAAATTTCATAAACAACGCAACTAGAATCGTGATATTGGCAAAAAAAAAATGTATACAAAAAGGTCTGTGACATAGTTAGGAGTGCATTGTCGCCAGTCTGGCACGAAAAATACGGAGGGGAACATTCGAGCGATAAGTAATAAACGATATCAAATGGTTCAACTTTCGCTTGTTGTAGCAGTAGCTTGAGACTCGAAATCGGGAATCACTACAACATATATTGAATTTTTTTTCGGAGGGACGAAACTTTTCCATTCTACAGCTCTTGTTCGTTGTGTTTCATGTGTATTTGTTGCTGTACAAGCGTTGTCATGAACACTGACACTGTTGTTTATACGAAAACCCCAAATAAAGAAGCAGAAAGTGCGTTGTGGCTTGTCTATGCTGTAGACACTTTGCATAGTGCGTGCTATGACGAAAATATTATCCCCTCAATCGCAAACGCTTGGATTCATCGTTCATGTGTGTACAATGAGGTCGAGCCAGTGCTAACATGTTGAACGAAACATCCGAGTTATTTCTTTTGTTTTGTTATGGGGAAGCAAAACATGCTATGTTTATACTTATGCTTTCAGCCTATACCATCCACGTCTGAAATACGATGAACGCAAATAAATTACGACGGCTCCGTTTATTTCGATTCAAATTAGTTTTTCGTTTTTTCACGTCATATATCGTGAGTAAATTCAAAAATGACGCAAAAGTGTACGAGTTACAACAAACCCACCAAATTAAGCATAGCCCAACGGTTAAATGCCTTTTAAATTTAATTGAAAGAGTGCGCGCATGGCGCCAATCAGACTCCAGTCGTGTACTCTACTGCAAATCGTCTCCCAGTTGTAGTGCTTTGATATCGAAATGGGAAAGCGAAAAATTTGCCACACAAAGGCATATACACATATACTGTGCTTCCTACTATATTAACGAACTATACAATCTATGCTGAATATGCTACAGCACAAAATCTATTGACATATAAAATGCACATAAATGTATGACAAGCGCAAATGATGTGCTCAGCGATTGCTGGCTCTTGCCTCAGTCTGTTCGATTTCGCATATATTCTTCTTTTTTTATAGATGAACAGTCGTTCTATTATTAGATAATAAAAAAAAGCACACAATTAACCTATATTTTATGATACTCTTTTCTCTGTTTTTCGAATCACATGAATAGTCGAGCACAACAAATTCAGACAATGAAGCGTATTATTTACGTTTCCCACATTCGTGACTGACAAATCTACGTTTAAATTCTAAACAGGATTAATACGCATTCGAAGCAACAGAAAAAACGACATTCGAAACAGAATGTTATCGCACGCTATACAATTTGTTTTATTTTTATTTGTTTTGCAATGCCTTTTTGGAACATAAAATTTAAAGAAGAAAAAAAATATGAAAAAAAAGTGTTGGAATCATTTGGTCATAGAAAAACGTCATGTTTAAAAAAAGTTTTCTCTGGTATTTCTGATGGTCAACCTTCCATTTTTGCTTAGAGCGCAATTGATTTTTTTTTTTCATTTTCTTGTAAGATTCATAACATTTTCTCTCAACTTTGATTTTCAAACACACTCACACACACACAGGAAGAGAGAGAGACACACACAAATTGAAAGTGTTTTGATTTGTTTCACGTACCCTCTTGGAATGAGACAGCCATAATAACGGCGATAACAGCAATTGCCAAAAATCCACTACGTGCCATTTTTTTCGTTTGTTTATTTATTGCTTTTACTATGTTCAAATATGTTCAATAAATTGTTAAGAAAATTATTCGATCACTCAATTAAAATTAGAATGTGGCGATGAGTTTCACTGGAACAATTGTTTGATTACTGTTTTAAAAAAAACCGTTGTTATTTGAAGTATTTAACGATTATTTTCGATGCAAAGCTTGGAAACAGCTCAAGTGTTTTTTTTTTGTCGTTCGGAATGAGAACACGCTTAAACAGGCAACCGTCTTAACAGAGACTAAACTTTCTTGTTTCGAATATTCAAAATCCAACTGAGAGAGCTCGTGTGCGAAGAATTTTCGATTTCGTCATGCGTATATTATGAGTAAATACATCGAATGGGTTTCGCTTGTGTGCGAATGAATGAACAATGAACGCACACATACAATGACAAATCGAACTGCGAGAGAAAGAGTCACAGTTGGTTGGTTTGTGTGAGTGTTGCTGCTGCAGCAGCAGCACTGTTTGCGGTTTCGTAATACAAATGTTTATTCCGTTCGTTCGTTCGGTCGCTCGCTTGTTCGGATGAAAATTGTGTGAATCGAGGAAAAGAAAATGTTGTTCGATTTCTGAAGTGGCTTTCATATAAATGATCAGCCAAAACTCGAATGGCGTAGGACAAATTCATTCGCTGTATATCAGATCTTCATTTAGAAATGTTACTGAAACATTTTTTTGTCATTTTACATAATGTCGTTGATGTGAAAATGTTCATTTTCCTTTTCGGAAACTGTAAACAAATTGTGTACAAATCCATACATTAAAATTGGTGTCTGTAGCTATTGTTGTGCCAGCCCGTGTATCATTCGATCGTGACAGCTAAACCGTTTTTTTTTTCTTACGTTATGCAACGAATCTTGATCAACACACACTCACACCAAGAGATCTATCATCTGTTGAACACGGTTAACATCAACCAAACACTTTCTCGTGCTAAATTTTTCTTTTTGCCCCGTTATCACATTACACCGACAACCAATTTCGAACCACAATATTCATGCTCATTCCCACGAATTTTAATCAAACCAATATTAACGCATCCCCGTTCGTCATTCATAAAAACAGCGGAGAAATTTCAAATTAATTAAGAAAAAAAAGTATCGCAGTGATATTTTAATAGACTCCGCTGAGATCATTTCATATTTGTCAACGAACCTAGTTCTAATTATATGACAATATATGAAATAAGCTGGCCGAAATTTTACGATTTTGTCGCAAAAATTGACTTTGTTTTATATACCACTGACCTTGATCGCCTGGTAGCCTGTTAGACAAAAAGTTATTCGAATCTTTAGTCACTGTTTTTTTTTCTCGTTCGAACAAAGTACATCATGCACTTCTAGGTCAAGTGGCTTTTGATGTTTTAAAATTGTATTGCGATGATTGCACGTATGTTTCGCGTAATTTCATTATTATTGTATGGTCGTTCCGTTGGAAGCAATTTTTAAATGATCTCATAGTACACGATTCCTGCGTATTTTTATTAATGCAAAACGTTGTTTTGTTATTCATACGGCGTATAAGGCTGCCGTGTTTATTGTCTTTATTTGCACATTCTCTGCATACGCGACACTAGTCAAAACAATTCGATCCAAGAGAGATTATTCATGCATGTATTTTACGATGTCTGGTTATTGTTTTGGTTGATCATCGTCGTCATTGTCTCTCTTTTCGCAACACCTTAATATTTTGTTGAGATGAAAAGAGGTGAGATGATACACCGACAAAAACAAACCAGCTGCACCTTACAAACAGCAAGAAATATTGGCTCGTAAATAAAACGCAAATTATGAAACGAATACAGAGACATCTATCGCTCGATGGCAAAAAGTATGGCATTGAAAATTACGCTATTTTGGACCATTCATAAATATGAGATATTTCAATCGTAGAATGTTGCCAAAAATTTCACTCTTCGTGAAGATACTTTATGGTTTGAATTAATTTTTTCTAGTAGATTATGGTCATGTATCAAAGTCAGTCTGACTGTCGTTTGTTATGACTGATTATTATGGTTATTTGTTGGTGGGCTGTTGCAATTTGATAATAATGGATCGTGAATGAGAAACAGCTGTATATGTTTCATTTACACAATCACACCTGTATCAATACAAATTGCCATTCAAATGACGAAGAAACATTTAGAGAGAGAGAAATATTCGATGATGAAGAAAATAATAAATAACAATTATTCCAACGTTTGAAGATAGAAATGTTTTGATTCACCAAATTTATCAACATCTCAGTTTGATGAATACCAAATGAACCGATATTTTGCATTGTTTTACAAACATTCTATTCTTTGCCAGAAAATTTTGTATACGCGACCATAAACAATATTTTGTTACAGTTTGGAATTTGGGACAGAATACTTGTGATTTATGTACTAAGTTAGAAAAAAAAAATTGAAATGTTTGTGACATCTACCAAATAGAGTAAAAAATGTCAGACACATTTGGATAATTTGTTAATTCATCAATAGTACAGAGTCGTTTTTAGAAATAATAGTCTTTACCGAGAATGTTTTTTTAGAAAATTGATGCAAATAGTTACAAAATACGTTGACTTTATTGTCAACACCATCATTTTTGTCCAATGACCGACCAGTCTATGTTAGTAGCGAATGAATTTACTTCTTCTTCATTGTATTTATTGAAATTACGCTTTTCAATTTTACGTTTTTTCTTGACCACTGGAATGCGAAACATTCCATAAATTGCCTCATGATTAGAAATATTTGATGGAAAACTCATTGATGGAAAATGACCAAATTGAATAGCATTATTTGGGTTCTCAACCAAAAAGATATCGATTGGTCTGCGTGATATGTTGGACATGTGTCATTAAAGCGGACCAATGTGTCAGTTAGTGTTTGTAATTTGGAATATTTTTGTACGTCGAAAAAATTTACATTAAAATCTCCACATATGAATGTCATTAAAGTTCAAACTTAAGGCTGTAACATATAAAAAAATTCATTAGTGTCACTTTGAGGCATATCTGAATGTCTATAGAAATTGCTAACACAATTTTGCATTGTTAGATATAATTTGTTTGCTGTGGTGTTCATTCCGATTCTTTAAATTTACGTCAAATTAATCCAGATAATAAAAATATTTATAGTCCACTTTAAAATTAAAACTGTTACCAAGTTGAAGAAATCACGCGTGCATATTGTTTCATTTGGATCAACTTAGCGTATGTAAATTTAAAGAATCTAAGCAAACACCCCGCAGCCAAATGCAAAATAAATTAAAACGTAGAAAATGTGTAAAAAAAGTTGAAACAATTCTGGCAGAGTTGAGCTTAACTTTTTGAATATTCAATTAATTACTGTCACACCAAATTAAGTATATGATGTTAATCAAGTTCATTTTTTCCTTTGAATTTTTTTACAAAAATACTTTCCTCACCAAGTAGAAACTTAGTTCTTAAAATCATTCCAAACAATACACACGTGAATAAATCTTTCATCATATTATAATTTCAAATATATAAATAAAAACATCAAATTCTAAGATCATGAAATCAAAATCAAAATTTAGTAAAATAATTTACTTGAGAGTTTGTCTAAAGTCAAAACAATCAAATTTCTTTAAAATAAGAATAATTGATGTAATTTTTTTTGTAATATTCAATATCTAAACTAATCGAACGATACAAAACAAATATAATTTCATTTGCACAGAAATATTTCAAATATTATTATTTGCACATACACATGCACCATGTTATCAGATCATCAGAATTTACAATATCATTGCTATTGGAAAAATAACTTCAATCATTTAAATTATCGAGAAAATATTATTATTTGGTTCAAGAAAGATAAAAAAATTGTAGATTTTGTCAGTTGTAGAGTTTTTTTTTGAATAGACATATACGAACACACAAAAGGTAGCAATGATCGTAGATAACAAATTGGCCACTTAAATCGAAATATGATCAAAATCCGCCAAATCGCGATAATCTTATCGAAAGAGCGTCGACATCAGTCAACACGCACACAAAGCATAAACCGATTTGTCGTGACATTTGGTCACTTTTCAATTTTCAAGCAATAAAATCATTGATGCCACATGCAAAAGACACTTCAGTTTTATTTGTGTGATTAGCACCTTGGAAAGAAACACATTGAATGAAACAGCGTTTTGTTTTAGTGGTTCGCTTAAATCTCATGAGTTTTTATCAGATTCTTATTTTATTATAAAAGTTACAAAAGGATAGTGAACATGGAATTTAATTTAATTTTTCAAAGAATTCAATCAAACTGAAACGCCCTCGACAATTTTTCTTTTGAATGGTGAATTTGAAATGAGTACACCGATTTTGTTTGAACGGAAATAAATAACAAATTTGAACTATTTCTTTAAATTTGATTGAAATGATTGCAGGCTGGCCGACAATTAAATCAGAAACTAACCTATGCAAATTCGTTTTTTCTCCAAACAAACAAACAAAAACGGTGAATTCCCTTAATTTATCATAAACATTTGATTCGCTTTTGACTTCAACACATTTTCACCTGAGTTTAAATTTTAGCTACAATAATAAATGAAAACTGGTTAATACAATATGAAAGAACTAAACACAAAAAAAAAGAAGAAAACACTTTAATCAGGATGATTCTGAAATCAATACAGCTGGTGCGAAGAAATTTATGTTGAAATCAACGATGAAATCATTCTGAAACGTAGGAAAAGAGAAGAAATACCACAATGAAATTAACTTTGACAGTACGTACAGAGTGCAAAAAAGTCGTATGACTTGACTTTTCGATTTTATCTGCTTTTGCAATACGATAAATGAGTCATAATTACCCGTATAAGTAATAGAAGAATGACAACAGATAAACGGCTAGCTTGATCCATTCCTCACGTTGACATTTGGCCAATGTGTCGGGCGAACATTTGAATGTATGCGAAGTCAAAAGCGTTGTTGAATTTAAATTGATTTGTTCAGTAATTCTGATGAATTTTGATGAGACGTTCCAATCTGACCCATTGGATCTACATTATTGAGGATGTCTAGATAGCGTGGACTGTTTAATGGCAATTCTTCTGCATTAATGCGTGTTTCAATAGTCGATATTGTGGCTCGCAAATTGTTTATCACACTATTACCGCCATCTAAATATCTTTTCAAACGGGGCAAGTCCAAATGTTTCTTTACCAATTCTCTTTCCACTTTTTTACCGTATTCGTGGGAATGGTGAATTAATTTTTCCAAAACCGGCGATATTTCTGGCACTGTTTTCGACAATCTTTGACGTTTTTTAGTTGGGGATGAATTTTGCTCATTGTTTTCTGACGCTGTAGCCTCACTATCAGTGAGATTACCACTAGTGTTCATGTTGTTTGAAGACATTTTTGTATTTTACACTTTTGATATCAATCTTCCCGTGTTTATTCACTAAATTTATTTTGTGTTTTTTTCGTTGAAAATTGCGTCTCTCTCACAAATGGCGATTGTAAGCGAACGCTATGCAAACTCGGCATATTAGCGCCAAAATGACAAAAACTCTTTGTCTCTCATACATTCCATTTGACAGATGGTTGCATTTGGGTGTGTGTGCGTGTATTGTTAAATGTCATTATTTTCGATTATTAACCTAACGTTCGTAGTCTACGAAATCGTACAAATAAAACGTAATACAATTCAAAATACCCGAAATTGAGTATTTTTTTCAATTGAAATGAATTAAAGAATGAATACGTTTCAAAAATTTTATCGGCCATATAATTTGATGGCGTGAGCATTTGAATTCAACCTAAACAAACTCAAAACAGGTATATCAGTTGTTTAATTCCAAATATAATTTCAGTGATACTCAACGTTTGAATATAGTAACATTTCAAAGTGTGAAATGAAATTCTAATGGATATTTTAATTCATTTATGTTTTATATTTGCTGTCCTTTTAAGTTTTGTCGTAAGTGACTTGGACAGTATGAACTTTATTGTATTAAATTTTAAAATACGTAAAGTAAAATTTTTCTTTCTCCACATTCAGGCTGCATACAATATTCAACTTTTGTCATCGCCAAAAAGGTGATTGCTTTTATTTTATACACACAATTGCTTTTTAAATCATGATTTATTTATGCAGCGACGTGGCAGATGGCCCACACTGGGATGTAAAGACGCAGAGTTTGTACTACGCGGATTTGGGTGGCATCCAACCGACACTTGTACGGTATGATTACCGCATATTCGGCTAGAATTAGAAATCGAACTGCATTCGCCTCGTTTATAATTCCGATAAAATGCAAGAAAAATCAATTTGCCGTCGGAGTTGGACGTAATGTTGAAATAATCCATTGGAATGGTCGTTCACCAGAAGCTGATGTCATTCGAACGGTAATTACTACCGCACAAATAGCTTAAACAATGGCAAAGCAGATCCACGAGGTCGACTTTATGCTGGAACTGAACGAGCACTATTTTGCAAAGACGATTCAAGCGTGGCCAATGGCACATTTTTCATGTACACCAGACAAGACGGTTTGGTGCGCTATCGTGACGACGTTTATAGCTCAAACGGTTTGACGTGGGATACACACAATAACAAGTTTTATTACATTGATTCATGCAAATTCGATATCAAAGAGTATGATTGGGATCCATCAACTGGACGAATTTGTAAGCCACACATTTCAGCTAAATGTCAAAGAAATTTAAAGAAAAATGTCTTGGAAATTTTAAAGTAAAATAATAATTATTTGTTCGCGTGCAGATAATGAGAAAATTGCATACGATTTTCGAATAAACGGTGAATTCACTGGCTACACTGCGGACGGTATGACGATTAACCGTAATGGATTGTTGTGGGTGGGTCTGTTCAAAGGAAATAGCATTGTTGCAATCGATCCAGTGTAAGTTCTTATTATTATTACTTGCCTTGAACTAATAAATAATTGAAGGTTTTGGTTTAAAGTTGTCACAAGGTTGTTAAAAATATCACCATCCCAGCGCATCAGGTGACAGCTGCTGTCTTTGGTGGGCCAAATTTGGATGAAATTTTTGTGACGACAGCCGGCAGACCTTTTGATATCCAGATTGGTGAAAGAGATAGTGTTCCAGAGCCGCCATTGTCGGGTTATTTATTCCAAATTACTGGACTCAAAAGTCGAGGATATGCACCATATGAACTTCGATGCATATAATACAATGGAAAAACTACTGAAAAATGTTCTCATTGCTTTTGCGAACGATTTTTATTGAGATAAATGTAATTATTATTTTATCAGAAAAACGACCAAATGAGCGCATTTCTGTCTTGGCTCTCATTTTTCTCTAATTCTATTGGTAATTTTCACACATTTATTCCGTCATTGACATAAACTGTTTTTGTTATCAAAAATATTATGAACAGCAATTGTAGAAAACAATATTATAAATGCTTCTTACGATAAATGGTAGGATTTCTTCAGAAAGAAGATTAACAATGGCTGATGATTATGATGATTGTGATGATCGATTGATTAATTTGTGTAAATTCTATCTTTTGAAAAATTTCTTGAAATTCTTAACTAAATTTGTTGGTTGTTTGTTATTTTTCTGCGAAGCGTCCGAGGCGGTGTTCTCATTCCGATTCGTCCAAATACTACTTATTTTGTCAAAAATACCTGTTTCAGGATTAGTCTTTGGAGATTTGGTTTTTTCTTCATTTGGTGTTGTTTTGCTTGTAACTTGTTGAGTTGGCTTTGTATTGACCTGAATCGAATCTGGTTCAGTTTGAGTTGAACGGTTGATTTGATCGAAATTAGGGTCACTTTGATTGGATTGAGAACACGCGATTTCCTATTCGGTTTTCTGTTTTTTGCGACGTTTTCCCTCCTCATCGTTTTTCGTCAAAAACCGAATCTTTCGTATCAAATGAGCCTTTCCTTCTGTCATCATTTTATCTTCCCATGCTTTGAGTTCACCTCTGAAAAAACAAAATGAAATTTGTATGAAAATGGGCGGTGCTAAATCTATGCATTAAATTTAATCTTATATGATAATTTATCTTTTTTTTCGCTTACTCATATTTATCACGCGACTGTTGGGCTCTTTGTTTATATGCTTGTCTTTCGTTATCAGACAATTTAGCCCAATTATCCTTCAAATCAGATGCTTTTTTAGTAACAACATTTGGATTTTTAAATTGGTCCGAAACAAATAATGTAAATGAACTTTCAGGCTTTTTCGGTTTGCCCAAAGCGCGTAATTCATCTTTCAATGTTTTCTTCTCTGCTGCGATTTTTTTATTTTCTCTCAAAAGTTTTCGCTCAGCTTTGATGGCCTTCTTCTGCTCCGGTGTTAACTTATTGATGTACTCGAGATAGCGTTTACGATATTCAGCCTAGAACGTCAATTGAATATTTCAAATAAAATTAATAAAAAAAACTTATAAAAATATTTCTTACATATTCCTGTTTGTAGGCCCCATTGTACTTCTCCTTTTGTTCATCACTCAATTGTTTCCACTGTTCGGCAGCAAGTACGGTAAGAGCAGTTTGTGATTTTGATGATGCTTTGTTTGAATCTCGGCTGTCTTGTGCAAATCGAATGAAACCTGTCATTGGCTTCTTGGGAGGCTCTGGAATGCCCAACTTTTGCACAATCTTATTGTATGTCGACACATTTGCGGTACACGCAATTTGAGTATTTATGTAACTAGAAGAATTTGTAAATAATAAATTTAACCTCAAATTTTCTTTTTCATCAATTCAGTTCCAGTTAATGGAGTTTACCTCGGAGCTTGAAGAAATAAACCACGATTTGCAATGGAGAAAACATTTGATGACACCAATTTCAGTAGTGAAGCCATGGCTGTGCTGAATTTGAACGGTGTACAAAATTGAACAAAGTAAAATTGTTGCGACTCTTTTAGCGGCAAACCAAAGACGATTCGTTGTTTTTGTTTATCAACTGTCAAATGTGCGTTTACTGTTGATGTGAACTCCGCTTAACGTTTGACAGTTGGAAATTTGATGGGATATTTTGTAAACACTGGTTCTCACATTCGATTGATTTGAAAATAAAACGAAAATATTGATTTTCATTTCGAATTTTATTTAAAAACATTTGTTCTTAGACCATGCCACACGTAAAACCAACACACATCACATACATTATTATTTTTAGATTCAATTTGAAATTAATTTTTTCAGCTCGGATACTTCTTTGATGCAATTTTTTGTCAACACTTCGGCACCGTCCTTTGTATAAAGAACATCGTCTTCGATTCGAATACCAATGCCACGGAATTCTTGTGGAACTTCCGAACTATTGGCTGGGATATATAAACCTGAAAGCAAATGCAGAAGTCGATTTTCAGTAGAATTTTTGGCGTTTATCTCCCTCTATCAAATTCCAATTATTTTTACTACTAACCTGGCTCAACAGTAAATACCATTCCTGGTGTGAGTACACGACTACGTTGAATCAGAGGCGTGTCATGAATGTCCATTCCCAAGTAGTGCGACACATGATGTGGACAGAATTTATAGCCAGCCCTTCTCGCTGAATCGAGCTCATTCAACGACTTATTGATGACACAAATTTCTTGTAAATACTTTCCCAAGCGGAAGCACATCAAATCAAACAGTTGATCCAATGTCACATTTTCAACCGTTGACACCACATTCAGTAACTCCTTTTGCACTTCATGTACCACTTCATATAGTACTTCTTGGGCTGGCGTAAACTTACCACTAACGGGCCAAGTTCGTGTAATATCACTGCTGTATCCACCATATTCACAACCTATTTTTGAAACGGATAATTAAGTTGCGTGAGAAACGATTTGAATACTTTATGAGCTGGCCACAACTAAATTGAAGAAACATAAAGAGACAATTGAGCTAAATGTGGAACCGAATATTGATAAAAGTTCGTCAACAATTCAAACGTCATTCATTCAACCTGTCGAATATTTGTGTACTGAAGCTGCTAGCATTTTAATTTTGATTATTTTCATTTTTGATCAGGGATAGAACGTGAACATTGTGTTCGCAAGGTGAATTCAATGTCGAAATCGTGCAGAGTGCAATCTGATACATTTTTATCAGTAAGTACAATTGTTGTTTGTTTGCGTTTGTTTGTAAGACATTGTTCTCAGTAGCATTGTCAGTTGGTTCAGATAGACACATATCATGTTTGTGGAAGTAAAAACTTTGAAATTGGAAGAAGAACGGTAAAAAAAAGACTTGGAACTAAATTGAACATATCTAACCTGCGTCCATCAAAACAAGTTCACCATCCTTTGCAACTTGTGTGTTGTTTATATAGTGAATGACATTGGCATTATTCCCTGCAGCCACCACTGGTGGATATGCCAAAAATTGTGCATCGTTCATTCGGCAGTGATAATCGACGCGTGCATGAATATGATGTTCTGAATCACCTGTAACAAAATGGGTTGAATCGAGAAAAAAAAAATGAACAAATATTCGTCACAGTTAGTGTGCTTGAAAAGTGTTTCTTTTTACCCGCTTTAGACTGTTGCATCGTCAAATTAACTGCTTTCGAGGCAATTTCACAGGTTTTCCGCATCAGATTCGCTTCAGCGGGTGATTTAATAAGTCTGAGTTCATGTAAAAATTCAAGAGGAGACTGAAACAATGTCGTGGTTGACAATATTGGTCGCAGATTTGAGTAGAGTTTTGGCTGGATTTCATCATTATTTTCGTACCAAACGTTGACTGACTTCGATTTGGACACGTATTTTTCAACAAATTTAGCTACATCTGCCAATGGATGTGCCTCGTCAACACCAAAGAAAGTTACTGAATGATCTACGCCCGTTCGTGGTCCATCCCAAAGTTCTTCGTGTTTATTTTTCGGTCGCATAAATAGTGCCGATTTTGATTGGCCTTCATCTTCCATCCACAGCACCAGTATACTTTCAGGCTCTAGGCAACCAGTCAGGTAGAAGAAATCCGAGTTTTGCCGAAAAAAATACGGAATTTTGCCAGTCATATACTTTTTCATGGCAGCGGGTATAATCACCTGAGAAAAAAAAAGAAAACAGTTACATACAATGTTTGGGATTGCAAACATCAAACAAAAATTACAATATTTCGGCTTGGTTTGCCATATTTAACACAATGCTCCTTGATTTTCTGCATCAGCCTATTCCTTCTATCAGCAAACTCACTCGGCAGTAATCCGATGGCCAGTTCATCTGTTTTCAGAATATGTGGATGACTAAATTGTGTCGGCTGCCCAAATCGCACGCCGTCACGGTGTAAACTCTCCAGATGTTCGGTGTACAATTTTTCCGAGCGCGACAATGATGTTGAAAAGTTTCTTAATCTTATGCATTTTACATAATCTGAAATTGAGCGCCAGACTTTGAGCATTTTCAAGTCGTGTTAATGTTTTATCATTTCAATGTTACCCAACGGCTTGACATTTGTCAGTGTTCTTCCACAGCTGTATAATTTCGACCGTGCAAGCGTTTTCAACAACATTTTCAGTTAAAACTATCACGATTACTATTGAACAAAATTGAACTGACCGTACGTCAGTGATTACCGTTCCGGTATTTTCTTTTTTCACTTCTATCTGACTGGAAGTCGTTTGATTCTCATGTGACAAAGCAAAATTTCTCTGCGATATTTTTTATCACATACAAACTACGATTCGAATGGCAATCTTTTGGAAATCCAATTTTTTTTCTAGCCAAAACCAAAAAATCAAATACGAATATCGAATGGGTACTATTTATGTGGGAAATGAATGAACAACTGTCAAAGTCGAACACATGTTTTGACGTTAAGTTTGACAGTTGAACACTCTGCCCGTAGTTTGTTTTTGTATTTATGTGTTTGTTTTGAAAGAAATGAATCGCCGAGTCGGCAAATTTTCGGTTCTCGTTTATATGTAGAGAAAATTTGAATTTGGTTAATTTTTCGACGTCACACGTTTTGACAGAAAGAAATTTCATCTTTTTGTAAGATAAATATTCCTTCATCAGCTAGATAAGGGTAGTGAAACAAAAAAACAGGACTCTTCACCACATGCCCATCAATTTGTTTGGAAAATTGTAAGGTGGAAAATATTCAGCAGCAGCGTAGATAAGTCAAAGTATATATTCAGTCAACGGTAGCTTGTATGCAATACATGAACTACAATTAAAATTGCATGACTCTTATCGACCACTTTGTGTACGGCTGATAGCGAAGTGATAACGAAATTCAGCAACGTCTCATCAGTCTTTGCCCACTATTTGATCAGTTCAGAACGAATTGTGTTTCAATCATGTCGATTTATCAGGATTTATCTGAGGTGTGCACTCTTTTGTTTTCTATAAAAAATATAAGAACAATAAAATGAGCTCTTTCTTAGGAAAATTTTAATTTAAAATTTATATAAACTTTTTTTTCCATAAAAGAATTTGCAAAGAATTTTTCATGAACAAAATAGAAATTTTGAAAATATTTTCAGTTCAAATTAACTATTTGAAAAGTTAATATTTTTGAATAATAATCAGAGTTCAAATAAATAGATGAATACTCAAATCAAGGCAACTAAATAATATCGGTTAAAGTTCAGAAATCATCATTTTACTATAACTGCACCGTTGCATTCGATCTGAATTAACACTTTATGCTTTTACTTAGGAACATCCAAGGAAGTTGATACCCGAGCTATGCAAACAATTTTATAATCTGGGATGGGTTACTGGGACAGGAGGCGGCATTTCCATCAAACTTGAGTAAGTCAAATATTTCTTTTTTGAAACTACCGTCGACCGCTGTACTATTTGTCTTTTTTCTTTGACTTTATCAATGCGTCAGTTTAAAATAAGCGTCCACTATGAAAGTAAAAGTTGTGCAAAAATTCTAGCATAGCGTCAAAGTGCTATGAATTTGAAAAAAAAGATGGATTTGTAATCTTCTTAACTTATCAGTTGTTGATAACGTTTTTTCGTTACATTCAAGTAATTGTATCGAACACAAAATTGAAATTCCTCGTGTGGAAATACTTCACATTTGTTTCGGCCAATAAAAACTCAATTATGCTTAAAACCGAAATCAATTCACATGAAATTCGAAATAAAACCATGGATGAAAAGTGACATTCATTTTCACTTCAAAATATCCCTGGTGTTTGCAGTGTTAGAATTGATTTGGTTAAAAATGACTGAATCGCAATTTTTACGTTATTTCGTTTCGTTTAAAAATCTGAAGGGAAACTGTTTTGCTTGGTGTATTGTAGACGAGTTTGATATACCAAAGATGTAATTAAAAAAGTTTGCCAACAATCCGTCCGGTGTACAGGCATCTCTCGGCGTTCCACATACATACACACACATACTACACGCTTTGTGTTCGCAATTATTTTCTGGGTTGAGTGTTCGGTTTTGCTTTGTTGTCACGACCATGAATGCATTGCAATTTTCCAAGTGCACTTATTTCACCACTCAAAACAGCGATACGATTAAATTTCCACCATGGCAAATTTATGATAAATTATTATGCTTTTTGGTCGCCTCTTGTTGCAACCACATTCTCGTGTGATGCTGCAGACTGATTGCTGTATTTGATTAGTGACAGCGCATTATTATTAAAACCTATCACACAACATTGAAACACTAATTAAATTTCACCATAAGCATTTTCACTGCGGTGTTGCAACCACAGTGTCAGCAACAGCGAAAATCGTAATTTTTTTTACTTCATTATTCGAATGATTTTGCCGCATTGCACTAAACAAGCTCACGACGCAACATGCATAGATTGGTTTTCCTGGAATGTCTTGTAGAATCTCTTATAAAGCAATAAAAATCTTTTATGGAGCAATAAACACTGGACCAATTAAATTCACCCAGATGTTCAAGCTACTTACACTTGACTTTGATTTTGTGCCCGAAAAATGTTGAAGACAAGAAACTTGGTCTCAAAATATACCTACATTGAAATTTCCATTATGTTTATCAAAGCGATTGTTTATGGATAATCCCAATAGCGCCTTAATTTTTATGCTTTCTTCTGCTTGCAGTGATGAAATCTACATAGCTCCTTCGGGCGTTCAGAAAGAGCGGATTTTACCAGAAGATCTCTTTATCCAAAATATTGAAGGTGATGACATTCAAGTGCCGCCCGAATATAAAAAGTGTGTATTGGATTTTGTACTTAGAACACATGATTCCATTAAATCGCTTTTATTTTTAGATTGAAGAAGAGTCAATGTACTCCATTGTTCATGTTGCCATATCGTCAGCGACGTGCCGGAGCAGTCATTCACACACACTCACCAAACGCTGTGATGGCAACACTCCTGTGGCCGGGCAAAGAATTTCGTTGCACTTATTTGGAAATGATCAAGGTAGGAAAAAAAAAATTACTGGACATATACTTGAATCTCGCACCGCAATGAAATTGTTAATTTCTGATAATTTTAATTTTCATTTCCAATAAGGGTATTTATGATCACAAACTGGGCCGCTATTTACGTTATGACGAAGAGCTAGTTGTGCCAATCATCGAAAATACTCCATTCGAAAAGGATCTCGAGAACCGTATGAACGAAACAATGAAAGAATATCCGGGATCGACTGCAATCTTAGTTCGTCGGCACGGCATATATGTCTGGGGAGAGACATGGCAGAAAGCCAAAACACAGTGAGTATAAATTTTGTTGACAAATTAGCCAATGTCACATAAATAAAAAAGTATTAACATTTAAAATTGAACACAATGACAATTTCATAAGAAATTTTCCACACTTGCTAAATGTATTCCCATATTTTCGTTTTAGGTGCGAGTGCTATGATTACCTTTTCGGTATAGCTGTGGAAATGCATAAATTTGGACTTGACCCGAATGCTCCACCAACTCAAACTAAAAAAACTGATAAAAAAGTGGGCAAACAATGAACGAAAAATGTTTAATACGCAATATCATTGAGCATGAGCTTTTGTTTTGATAGTTTGAAATCATTATGATATAAAGTGGGAAAAATACACATATGTGTGTGCACACTGCACAGGCACATGAATCGTTTCAATAAAAAAAAAAACATGTGTTGAAAATTCGTTCACTATGTATGAGGCACTTCTATCTATATGAAAATAAAAAAATACATGAAAAATATTAAATATTCATAATTTCATTTATTAATTAATTGGTCGTCATTAGTAAATACGTAGGGCATATTCAATTAAGAAAGTGATGAAAGAGAAAAAACTATGACACGCCTTAAACTATTCAATTGTCATTATGGAAGCCAAGCGCGACGCCTCGTTTAATCCAGTGTGTTGAATCCACATTATCTTTCACTGGCAACCAAATTCTCGTAACTAATGAACCATTCTTTACGATTCCTCGTTTCAGTGTGTAATACACGGGACATTCATAGCGATGGCCAGCTACGAACTTTTTCATTTCCATAGGCTGAAAAAATTATAAGCACACATTATTATCCATGTCCATAGGTTATTTTATTCAATTGCCATACCCTGAGATGAATCATAGGAAATGATTCAATTGGATTATGAAACATTTGTTCATCTATGAAGCATCCATTCCAATGGGCAGCTTCTAAATAAAGACCGTAGACGGATACACCGTCGTCTTCTGGAACGTCAGTACACCTTCATGGGCATTAGATTCAAGACAATATACATTATTCAATGGATCATTCAAGCAATGTGAATATAAGTGTAGGGTAACAGTTGCAATCCAATGTACCTATCTTCATTCAAAACAGTGAAATCAATTGTAACTTCTTCCAATGACACATCATGCTTTCGAGCGAAATCCAATTTGATAGCCGTTAAAAAGCTACGCGGCCAGAAAAATGCTGATAGCCAATATGTCTTGGGCGTTTTATCAGCCGCCCACCAGTTTTGAATCCATTTGAATCGGTCGCAAAAGTCATTGAGATAGGATGCAAAGCATTTGTCGCTTGGATACGAGATGTTTTTCCATTGATCGGGAATACGATTTGCTGAAATACTCTCGAAGACACTTTTCAATTGTGGAGTCATTGTAATAGTTCCTGCAGGAACATGTAAAAATAAAAATTCGTGGTAAAAAACTAGTAAATCTGCAACCAACTTCAATATTTTCTCACCCTGAAGTGCTCGCTGCAAATCGTAACATGTTTTACGGATTATTTTAAGCAATTGGTTGAACATTTTTATTTCGGATGCTAAAACAGTATTCATTGAACTTTTGTATGAGAATCGAAAATTGCTTAACTGATCTCTATCGACTGGTTTGGGTAATTTTTCATTAATTTCGTTCAATCTGTCTAAGATTGTCGTCGCTTCCAATGATGTTTCGTTTTTAACAGCCATCGCAATAGTCATAGAAGACAACAAAGCGTTGGAGTTGTTCAAGTGGAATATGAAATCGGAATTCGCGTGAAGACCGTATACTTCACAATTGGATTTCTCAGGAATCGATTCTTCGATGAATTTTACAACCAGACGTCGTTCATATCGCAATGGCAATGTGTGGGCATCAAGTGAGCTTATTTTGTATGGCGGGCCTTCAAGAACATTCTCGTTGAAAATTTCACACAAAATCGTGTTTAATAAGCGTTTATCAAACTCATCAACAAGTCGACCACCGTAAAAACACTGGCTAATTATGTATTGCAGTGTTTTAAATGGCGTTGCATTTCGATCACACAGAAATATTTGTAATTGTTTTATCGATTGAGCAAAATCACTAACACTGAAATCATATGCAATATTCCAACCGACGCTTCCATATTTCTTTCGTTCATGTACAACCACATCGAAAAAGGTGAGCAAGTAAAGCATTTGCTTGAAGAGTTTATCTTGTTTTGGGCAACTGTCGTAGAAATTACTATTCAATAAGCCTGTTTGATAGGAGTTCAAGAGATTTGCTTTGAGACCTTTCGGTGTTTCGTAGGTCATTTTTATACTGTTTTGGATTAAATTCAGCGGAAATGTTGTAGTTGGCTCACTGGTCATCCACAAGCGGAATGAAGCTAAAAAGGAGGAAAAAAAAACCCAGTTAGTATCTGAATTTAGATGTAATCAAAATTCAGAATCACTTTTTTTTTCTACTTACGTGTAGTATTATAAAAATTCATGTTCTTCAAAATATTTTCCAGTTTTGCTAGCCATTCAGTGTTTAAGTGGCAATTTTGAATGCAAATCCATGACCCCTGTTTTTGTGCTTTGACCAGTGCATTTTCAATGAAATCACCTTGATCAGCTCCAAGTGATATCATTTGCATCGATTGTGAATAGCCCAAGCGTTCAGCAAACATCCAAAGCGTATCGATTGGATCAGTCCCGGGCGAAAGGATAAAAATCAACGGTGTGAGAATATTCGATTCTTCGAAGGATTTGTGAATATCGAATTGTGGTGGATTCACGAATTGTGTACCGATTTCCGTAGCTATGAATTCAGTCACGGCATTTGTAACGAACTCAGGGTGGAAAATTTTTGTTATCATTAGTTTTTCGTACGATGTGAACCCATCGACTAAATTCGATGGTAGTTTGTCATCATTTCCATCGAAATACATTTTCCATTGGTTGATATTTTTCTGGATTGACACAAGAACATCTTCTCTTTTAGTTACATCACTTATTTTATGTAAATCCTTCCACATTTTCTCGGTCATCCAGTCTGCGTGTGGCTTTTCAAGCAGCGGGCCAACAAAATTGTTTTCACCCGTAACAAAGAAGTGTACTTGCTCCTTTTTCAGCTGTCCATTCGTGATAAGAACTTTTGTTGTGAAAATCCATGAGAACAAAAGCTTATCCACATCAAAAATCGATCGGCAAATGGTATTGTAGAAATTTTTGGTGATGGATTTTATCAGAAAATCGATTCGACGTTGCAGATCTCTCGATCGATTTGCTTTTTCTATGGAGAAGTTGTACAGAATTAGATACCAATTCAAAGAGAATTGATACATTGGATTGATGAATCGCAATCGATCCAAACAACAGTAGAGAATGGCTGAATATGAAGCGACTTTTCGATAACTCTCACGAAATGCTTCAATTTTTCGTTCAGCCTCAACATAAATCGATTGTTTGCCAATGACTTCGATGTAAAGATGTTTCGAAGCATCCATTCTCTTTATTGCCGTTTCATCCTCAAGAATATCATTTTCGCTTTCGGCAATGACGGATAAAATTTCATTTTCATGTTCGATTAATTTCGCTTTATCTTGGAGTTTATTATGCAACAGGTCATCACGTTCTTCGCGCAAATACGGATTCTCTTTTAGTACCAAAATGTCCAATAGATTCTCTTCCAAACCACTTGATACGAAAATGAAATTGATTATGTTCAGTTTTCCGCTGTATTCACCGATAAATGTAATGTTTGTCGCATTTGATGTTAAATACAAACGAAAACTATTAGCAATCTCAATACTTGTTTGGGAATTTAGTTGAATGGTGTTTTCCCGTTTGGATATTCGATAATTAAAAATTGGTTCTAGGCAAATGTTCAACGGCTCCACAACGTCTTCAATCAAAATAGGGTGACCGTCTCGCATGCAATCCAATAGCGCACTGAAATACGATGGATCCGATTGTTTCACAACTTTTAGTTGATTTCCACTTTCCATGTGTTTGATCCATTTGTTGGCTTGCTGTTGAGGGTCAAAGAACAAACATTGTCGACAAGAGTTTGTCATTAGAATGCCGTTTTCAATGGAAACTTCATCCGCAGCCAATCCGAACATAAGCCAATCTTGAATCTCCACTTGGTATCCCAAGCATGATCTCAAACTAAACTTTTCCGAACAAGGAATTCCGTTGGTTTTGCAAAATTCATGCCATTTTATGATGCAGCGCTTACGATAGTGCTCTGGCAATACACCGAGGTAGGCAATTATTCCACACGAAATTAAAACATCGCCAGGAAGGTGATCTAGAGAATTTTGTAGAAGAGCGGCCTTCTCCGTCCATCTGGTTTTCTCTTGGCCCAAACTACCGATTAACGCTTCGGCTCGTTGAAGCTTTTGTTCACACATAGCCACCTCACGTTCGGTACGCTCTTTCTCCGCGTTGGTTCTTTCCAATTCAGCATTCAATCCGGACACTTTTTCCTCCAGTTCTGCTGCAAGAGCACGTTTTTCTGCTAAAAATTTACGCGTCTCTTTCAAGTTCTCTTTGGCATTCATTAATTTGAGTTTCTTTGGCAAAACAACCGTATTGACTGATTCAAAATTTTCGATGGCTTTTATCCACTTACACAGTCCTTCAGCGGCACTAGACGCTTTTGCAACAATATGCGGCTGAAAATCCTTGTGTGGAATGAAATCTTTGCGAATTTTTTTCATTATGTCCGAACTGATGTCGTCTTTGTCATAGTCTAAATTGAGCAAATGTAAAAAATTATGTGGAAAAATTGAAAGAAAAGTTCAATCGGTTATACCTTTTAACGATTGAAGAAATCCCATATCACCAAGTATTCTTTTACTTGGACCCCAGTAGTCGACTATCTTTTTGCCTGAAAGGAACATTCATTTCACAAATAGTATATTTTCTTAAGCTTTCATTCAATTGAACCTTTTTAGAAAATATTTCAATTCAAAAACATCTTACCACTAGCCGCATCGTTAATTCGATCCGGAGGCACTCCTTTCATAACACAAACCGCCGCCATAACAAGTTTAATTGCGGAAGGTGGATTTTTCATCGATTTCACCAAAGTAATATCGGCTGGTTTCAATGTATTCAGCGCTTGAAGAGCATCTTCAAGAACAGGAACTGCTTGTGCCAAATCTTTTGAACATTCATCCTCCATAGCTGCCGCCGCTGAAGCCTGTTCATTCGCCACCAATTCATCTCTCTTAACTTGTTCGGTGGCGACGCTCGCTTCAATTGTTTTTAGTTCAATTTCAGTTGTCATTTGTATGCAGTCCATTGCCATGGCTCGAAGTTTCGGTTCCAGTTCATTTAGTTCGGTTTGCATATTCTCTACAGCTTTTTCTGCTTGCAGCAATGTGTTCAAGCCACTTTCATATCTCAATTTGGCCGTGGTGATCTCAGTTTGTTTTTTGACAAACAATTGTTCGAAGCACCTCACCAATTCCAAGTATGACGCTGATGAAACATAAAAACTATTGTCTGATTCCATTCGATACGATTTTACTGCATCTTGGGCCGTTGTGTGAAAATGCAAGCATGCACTGGTGATGGAATCGGTCAATTCTTCGGCTAAGTCGAGATTTGACAGGAATTTCGAAGCGATCATTTCTAGAGCACCTTCTGGCCATGCATCAAATAAATCGATTGTGCAGCAGTTTATCAACGAAGGATAGACGCGGATGTAATTTCCAAGTTTCGATCCAACTGAGTTGAAACTAATGATGATATGAAGATTTTGTCGGCAACGGTTAACAAAGAATGAGAACACCTCATCGGCACTTATATCAATGTTCCGATTTCCTCCTTGTGCAACTAGTCGAACCATTTCGAGTAGTTCTTGTTTCTCATCAATCGGCCATAGATTTGGCACATCTCCAGCGTTCAGCAAATAGTCAACGTCAATCAGAAATGCATCGTTCAATTGGCTTTCCGATAAAAATAAGCAAGTCTGTTGACCCATTCCACCGGCTGATTTCAATGCAGATTTTATATCCTCTCTCCATGCCTTGATACTGTAGTCTTGCACTATGTTCAGCTCGAAGAGCTTTTGTTTGCAAATAATCGATGCCAAACGAATCAAAGATCGTCGACCCGAATCAATTATTCCAATTATTAAGCCATTTCCACCAGGCATCGAAATTATTCGGCAAATTCTATTTAAATGCTCCAACGCATAAGTGAATAGAATCACATTTAATTCACATTTTTCAGTTTCGTTGTATTCATTCATCGCCACATTTGCCACCATTATCAGCTTGTCAAAACTCGTAATTTCTTCATACTTTCGGTTCGAAACGTCCGTCTCCGTGTCCAAATAAGAACCGAAAGAGAGTTTTTTTATGCTGTCAATCGTTACGATGCCACTTTCATTGGTGTAAGATTCGAAAATTATTTCCATATTATCCTTAAACGTGCCACTCGTATCGTTGATCTGCTCAGAAAGGATTGAAAAAATCCAATCTTTTTCAGTGGAATCGATGAGACGGTCATGGAAAACGCGCATGGCTTCATGAAACCATATCTTTGCAAACATCTTCTTATTTTCTACCGATTCTTTTCTCAACAGTGAACAGCCACTGCAAACGCGAAGAATGTCTCTCATATCGAAACGATAGTGCGGTTTGGATGGTGTTGGTTTTAGCTTTTCAACAATGGCCGCGTATACATGCATTGTTGCAGCTACAATCTGATTTCCACTTCCTATGACATCGGCAGCATGACCTCCTCTTTTGAAGCCATTCATTAGAATGCCGCTAGCTATTCGTGAATGAGTCTCTTCGGTGAATTCATTGACCGAAAAGCAGTTGAAATGATTCAAAAACCGTACATTAACATCACGACAGCGTCCACCTGGTACACCACACGCTGCCAACACCAAAATGTTATTTAGGAATATTTTTGAAGTGGTCTTCAAATCGTAAACATATCCATAATCGAAAATTTGCCTGAGCAGCTCAGTCGATGAATTTGAAGCGATGTTTTCACCTTCAGGAATGTTCAAGTTATCGATAAACACGGCACAAGTCATACCCTCTGGTGGACCATACACACCACGTTTTAATTTAATCAATTTGCTCAGAAGTTCCTCATGGACGTCACTCGATTTCGTGCGTTTATTGAAGGTGATGAGGCCGGGAGAAACCTTTTTTACGTCAACTTTACTCCGCAACATATTTTGCATCATATACGTTTTCCCAGTGGCCGATGGACCCACCAGTATCACATGCTTCCCGTACTGAAATATAAGTTACTCATTATGTATTTCCATTTTCTTTTGAACGAAATGTGTTCTGTTCATCGGTTCAATTTTAAATTCACCTTTACGTGCATCTCGGTCAAATAAGAATATCGAGCCGAATCAACTGTAGCCACATGAACACCGTATTGATTGACTTCGGGCTCTTGACGTCGTACTAGATCTGCCCACAATTTCCACGATCCCTTCTGTTTGAACACATAATAATAGTCATTCACACAGCCCTCGAGCGGCACAGAAATATCAATTCGACTTTTTATATTTGCCGGTGGAGCATATTCATCGTGACTACACCAAATCTTCAAAAGAGATTCCAACACAAATCAAACGTAATCAACAAAATTGAAGATCATTCATTGTTATTTTTCATGTTTTTTTATAAGTCACTCACTTTCTTATGAAACTGATCAAACTTTTTTCGAGATTCATCATTTAAAATCCCTCCAATGCCCCATGCAATGCCGAACATTGTCGCTGCTTGAATCCAAGTCACAAGAAATTTTTGATAGTCATCTGCATTGATTTCGATAGCATCATCGATGACCATTTGGATAATGCTGAATGTTGTATTGATCAAATTGTATTTCAAAGGATCAAGCACATTCCCTCCATATTTTTCTATGTAATTTAATACCTGCAAATTCAATGAGCCCAAAAAATCAACCAACTTTATTTTGAATTTTAATTTTTGTATTTACCAATGGCAAAATCCAATCAAGAATATCAGACAAGAACGTCCTACATTCAGTTATCCACTTGTGACTGCAGCAATTCATCCAGCATTTTGCCAACGTTTTCCATTCCAATGTATCCGGTTCAAAGTACACTATACCAAGACGTGAAATCTGAATAGAATGATGCGTTAATGTTTAACAGACGTGATTGGTAAAGCCACTGAAATTCTAAGCTCACTCATACCGTTGATGGAGATGCAAAGCTCAAGCTTTCTACTTCAAATATAATTAGTGTGTTCTCCGTTAAATTCAATACTTCACCCGAACTGAGACATAACTTTCGATTGTCGTCGAGTACCGTGTTCAAATTCTCTATCCATTCCGAGTAAACTGGGCCGTCAAAAACGATCCATTTGTATGAATTTTTCGCTTTTTCATCAGAAAAGCGACGAATTATTGATGAGATCACACCATCTGTCCAATCCATATTGATTGGATCATATTCGCCGTATAAGTGTTTCAGCTCAATCGCATTTGGATTCACGAATTCTGTCGAATATTTGAGTAGAAAGTGGTGTTTAAAATTCATAAATCAGATATCAATATAATTGCAATGAATTCACAAATGTAATCTAATTATTGAGGTAAATTTGATCGAGTTACCATCAACGCAATCATCAATAGTCATACTACAAATTCTTTAGAGTTGCAAAAGTATACAATCGCACATCCGATCATTTCTTTTATACTCACCAAGATCCATGTCGTTGTTCTCTAGTTGGTTCTTCGACTTTATGACATCGATCAATGTTCGCAATACGAATGATTTTCCAGTGTATGGATTACCGATAAGCATGATACCCTGTCTATAACCGCTCATTTCGTAAGATTCAACAAGCTTACTGTACAACGATTCGACTGGCTGATAATCTTTCTCATTGCATCTTCGTTCATATGCTTCTCGTAGCCATTCGTAGTTCTTCTCTTTAGGATTGGCATTCGGAAACAAATCATTGATAATACTTTTGAAGAGTGGTATATCTTGTGGATTAATTTTGGGAAGATTTACATCTAACAATGATTGATAGATATTATTTTCTTCCGTTTCATTGATTTGCGTTAACAGTCGATTGGCAGAGACGCGGAGTGATATTTTCAACCCTCGAAGACCTAAAACGAATGATCAACACTTTTTTTCAAAGGAATCTTAGTTTAAAAATGAAATTCTTTGCTTCTACCAAAATCATAATGAACTTCAGGTGGCAAAATCTCCGAGCATATTCTATAGAGTTTTACTATTTTTCTAGCGATTGATTTGGCGTTTTTAAAACCATTTGCATACAAAGAAATTTCTGCAATTTGATAGGTATCTGGTTGCATCATGGTGACCGGCCGAAAAAGTGTTTTCAAATTATTTGGTCTGAAAAAAAATAACGCATTTATCAATTGAGAGTTATACGAAGCCATAGAGTTATTCTCAACCGCCCAATTATGTAGTTGGTCTTACATTTTCGAGCGAGTTGCATCCAATGGGTTTGACATGATGCATATGTTGCACTGTGGATTAAGTTTCAATTCCACCCCGTCCAGCTTAAATTTTGGCAGTTGTTTCCTTAATGCCATTTGTATGGAACGCATTTGTTGTGATACAACCGAAATTGTCGTCACTGCAATACGGTTAAAGTCTTCAAGACATATCCATGCTCCGCTTGTAGCGATCCCTTTTAAAAATCTTGAAATTGATCGATAATCTAAATCAGGTGTACAGTCAAACACTTTCAATTGAATAGCCAATGCCTTTGCCAAGTCTTTGATTGTTTCAGATTTGCCTGTAGCGGTTGGTCCTTCAATCGAAGCATTCAATTGATGTTGAAATGCCAATAGAATTGTTCTGTAACAGCGTTCTGTGAGCGGTGTCATTACGACCCGTTGAAAATTCCCTAAATATTCGTAGCCATAAGAAATTGTTGCATTCAAAATCTTCATCACGACTTTTTTTTCAATCCAATAATATCTCAATTGGGCAATCCATTCGAAATCGTCTATATCACTGTTCTTGTTCGATATCAGTTTGCTGGTGATATCTCGCCTCGAAATATCTTGTATGCACAACGATTTCAAGGTGATTCGATTCAAATTGGTGATTTCTGGCGATCGGATTGCTTCGGTTATTTCGTCTAAATTGGAATTGATTTCCGCATGAACGCTGTTCAAAAGATCCCGATTTTGTTGCAGAAGAGATGTGTGAATGTCACTGGTCCAAAAAATACTTGCTATAACCAAAACTATCATTTGCGACCAATTTAACGCCCAGTCCAGTCTTTCTGATGTCACATAATCCGCATATCCATTGATAACTTCATTTCGAACAGCCAAATACATTTCGTTCTCTACACTATGCAACCACTTTTCGACACTGCCTCCAGTTTCTGAGATTAAGATACGATTCGCAAAGGCAACACTCTCGTTCATTGAACTTATCATTGCATCGATATTCCCAGACTCATCCATTTGCAATTGATTAATTCCATTGAAACATTTGCACAAGAATGGCTGAATGTTTTGTGGATTTTTTGTCTCTGACAATATTTGAAGCATTTCATGGTTCGATAAAAAGAAGAATCTCGAAAAGTAAAGACGTTTACGCTCAAGGAATGCGTTGACTCCACTTTTGATTTCATCAAGCATTTCGTTTGCTGATTTCAAATCTTCCAATAGTTGCTCCGCCTCAGTCATTTTCATAACGATCGGTTCTTTTATGGACATCTAAAATGGTATTCAATTTTAAGGAAATGTTTGATCAATTTTACTGTTTTCTCTTCAATACCTCAATGTATTTGCAATAAATATCATTAACTCTTGAAAACAGGCGCTCTTCATTTGGCATTTCCACTGAAATATCCTTGGATGACAAAATCGGTAACAAATATAACCAGTTTGTTTGAACTTTCATCCATTCTTCGAAGATTTGAGAGACTCGAAGAAGTTTTTCATACCATTTCCGAACTTCATGTTCACAGGGCTTTACAAATGCTGATCCACGCATTGCTAGTGTTTTGATTATATGGTCATCGAGAAGCACCTAAGAGCAAAATAGTGTTACCGATTCAGAAAATGTATTTGTTTTGATTAATCATCAATTTGGATTTATTCGAAAAAAAAAGAATGAGAAAACATAATCAGTTCATCACCTGAATGTCTTCAATGTTTCCCAATACTTTGATATCCGTATCTTTGTACACTGTTATTGGAAATTCGATGGTTTCCCATTGCTTCAGCATATCTGCTAGATCCATTTGCAGTTTCAATTCTTTATTGGCTCCGATGCTAATGATTTCAAAACTCGTCAATAAATGGTCAATTCCATACTTGGTGATTTTTCTCAACGATGTCCCAGCATCGGGAGTTAAATCGAAACCTGTGGTATTTGTTAATGATCAAGTTGTTTCTTTGAAGAAAAGTTGTCATTTTTCTAACCTGCTATTTCTGACATTTCCACCCAATGCCGGTCTCTCAAGGCTGGATTACACATGATTTGAACAATACTGACGCCAATTTGAAAACCGTTAATCCATTCGATCATTTTGCTGCACAATCTCAACGGCACCGGGTGTTTCTCGGGATCAGGATCTTCGGTTTGACCCTGTTTACATTTATAATATAAAAAAGACTATGCTGCGATATTCATTTTCAAAAGAAATGGTTTACCCGAAATTTTAACACTGGATTTCCGAGCATATCAGCTTTTATTCGATTTCGGTAGTATTTTTGTGTGGCTTCAAACTCTTTGGTGTAGGTCTGCACGAGATTCTCAATGGTCACTCGATCAAGATACTCAAAAGGGCCATCCATCCAAATGTGGTAATACCGCAGCCATTCGATACAGAGTCTAAATTTTGATTTTAATTCTCGGTCAAAAAGAAAAAAAAAGTAATATCATTCAATTTTAAGCACTTACTTGATGAGCTGTGTGAATGGAGTCAAGAAATTTGTCAGTGATTCGACAATCGGATACTGTGAAACAGGCAGTTTAAACAATTTTTCCTCTTTATTTATCCACTTTATGTAGTCTTCAAAGCACTTGATTTGCTCGGTATAGTCTTCCAGTGTCGCAAAATAGTCATGCAATTTCTCTGTGTCGTACATATCATCGATAATGGCTAATTTCGGTATTAACTCATCAATGTTTTGCGTTAATTTTTTCGTCACGATGCTCAAATGCTCTTCGAATTGATTCTTGTAAATTTCGAACTGCGATGAATTTTGCTCGAAAATGTCTTGAATATTATGCAACCAATGAATGGTTTCGATTTGTAAATTGAAATGCTCTTCATCAAACTCTCTTAAATCGATCAATCGACCGCTGATCTGGAAACATTCGAAACATAAGAACAGAGCCATTGAAAATGTTGACAAAGATGAAAAACTCAAATGTGATAAAGTATAAGCTACCTGCATATTTTTCTGTATGTGTTCGCGAATTTCAGCAATTTTTTTATTCTTCATTTGCAACATGAATTCTCCGTTGGCCAATAAAGTTTCAGTGGATTTTGGTGCTTCAAGTGCACGCTTCTGAACATTCGAAAACCAATCGCAAATTCTCTGACAATCATTTTTGTGGTCTTCAGTGATTTTATCAATAATTTCATTGATATAATCTTGTGCAATCGTTCGTAAACCCACCAGCGCCTTACTCTGATTAATCATAGCATGATCGAATAGTTGATTTTGAACGGTTTTCTGCAGTTTTTCAATGAATTGCCGGAAAAAGGCGATTTTCCCAAAATAACTGTCAATGTGTTTTGGTTCACTTAAAAAATGGTCCAAATCCAAACGCGTTTCGTCACTAAATAAATCATAATATTCATTCGCCAGCGTATCAACATAATTCAAAACGGGTGCATATGCTTTTTCTAGTGCCACATCCAAGCGCTCCAATAGTTGATTGAATGTTATGTCTCCGATGTCGATTTTCAAATAGGTATCATTTGAATTTGTTATGAATGCGACACGATCGATTAACGGTTCAAGCGGCGGAAATTTCGTTGCTATGGCAGCAATGTTTTTGAATACTCGATGGAACGTATTTCGTAATTCTCTGAAACTTGGGTGCAATTCGATACGACCATTACTGCAGGTTGCATAGAATTTTATCGGTGGCATATTTGCACGAGTGTTTAGCACATCGAATATATGCTCGAACGTATTGATTTTAATTTCGGTTATTTGTCGATTTATCAGACCTTTGGCACAGTTCAACATCCGTGGCCACAAATGAGCGGCAAAAGTCCGCTTACGGTAATGTTTCAAAATGATTTGAACTATTTTCGGATACCATTCTTCACGCAGAAAAATTGAATTATTCTCTAAATCACGTTGGGCTGCAGTTTCAAATTCGATTAGTATGAGCCAGATGCAAATTCCACTTTTGGTTTTTTTGTAACCTCCGTAATTGTTTAGGACACTCGGAAAACTCTGATACGATGAATGCACTATGAATCGAATGAATTGAAATGGGATGAATAGTTTATCCTTCAACTGTTTTCGATATCGAAGGAACTTTCCGTAATGTTCTGTTCGTCCAGCATGTTTGAATTTGAACGAGTCACTCTTATCATCAGCCATTTCATTTCCGTTGAGCGGTTTCATGAAACGCCTAACATTAAACGCCTTAATCGTTTCTAAATAATGCTTTTCCACATCATTCATATAATTCTTAATCACATTCGAACACTTCAGTCGAAATCGGTTCTGCGTTGGATTAATGATTTTCTTCCGAATGCGCACCGGCATATCAGGTATTGGTGTGTTGGCAACTGCATTCCGTAGTTGGACTATATAATACACTTTTGGAAGTCGTTCAAAATTGGCATTGATTTCACGAAATGGATCAAACATAAATCTCTTACGATCCTAAAAACAAAACGAATTAACATGATTTTGATGACAGAAAAGTGGATTTTGTTCTATACTTACGACTTTTGTTCGACGCTTATGTTTCATTCGTTTGGATGTGTTTATCTTCAGTTTCATGAGAGGATTTTTCAAGAATGGATCATTATCGTATCGATCCAAGGGAAAATCGAACTTAAAAATATTTTTGAAGTGGTCAACCATTTTAATTTCAATCTAAAAACGCTCCTTTCAAAGTTCACACTGAAGTGTTTTGACGCCGACTATGAAGTAAACATAAACAAAAAACGGCGAATCAAAGCGTCATAGCAACGGTTTTTATCGGGTATCAACGTCATCAAATGAATAATGCTAACGAACATGTTGTTGGGATGGTATATATGGATGGTCATCAAATGTATATAATTTCCATTTAACATTTCGATTTCTTGAAGAATTTTTACATTTTCAATTTAATTAGTTGATGGATTCAGGATGGAGGAATTAGAGCATTTATTGCATGCAATCAATTTCATCCAGAATAGAAAGAAAACAATACATAAGAAGCCATTTATGAAAACAAATTATATGTTTTCGAATATATTTCAATCAATAGCGTACAAAAAATGATAAAAAAAATTGAAAAGATTAATCTCATGAAACTCATTTGAATTGTCATTTTGCATGTAAATTAATAGACAAATCTAATGACATACTCTGTAAAGAATTACATTTTATTTATAATCAGATGTGCGAAATGGTCATGTGTGTAATTCCTTTGCTTGGAACTGGCTGCATCAGAAATATATATATTTTTTGTATTGTTTTCGTTATAGTCGACAATATTTGAGTGCTGCTAATCATCAATAGTATTTTCACTTGCAACAGTTGTGTACTCATTTTCAAAATCCACGTTCATAGCACCACCGTTACATCCATCAGTTAAACAGCTCTTGCAAAATTGTGTCTTCACATATGAGGGTGTTGTTTCATTCATACAATCATTTTCCAATGCATTCACTGGTTCGAAGTGACACGATCGTGAAATCACAACCTTATCATTCACTGCAAGGCAATAGGGATTTTATGATAATGCTTAAAATTAAAAATAAATCGCCTTACCGAGCTGAATAATTTTTTTGCAAGCGCTTCTTTGGTTAGAATTTTGAGGGCAATCCACGTATATCCAACGTTTTTGCGCCGCAGTGATATTGCTTTCAACAAATGGATCTTTACAAAACTCAGACATTTTCCCACTTGACTGGCATCTCCAACATTTAATGGCAAATGCTTGAATATTTCATACGTTTTGTTATGGTTAAATTTCGCATTTGAATCCCAATCATGAAGAGTTAAAGATTTTTTTTGTATATAATTATATTGTCACATATATTCTACTTACCTTTATGGAATAAAACAACTAATGTCAAAACAACGGTTAGAGAAACAAATATAAACCTCTGCAGTGCCATTTTTTTAATGAACAAGAAATGTCACGAAACCAATTCATGTGTTTCAGCAGTATTTGACAAGACTGATGTTCATTTCAAGTCTAGCTTTCTTTTAAATAGCCAAATTTGCACAGTTCATTTCTTTAAAAAGATTATTTTCAACTTAAAAATAATGCCAAAATATCAAATTGTACATTGAGATGTGATGAACTTTCCAATCAGAATAACATTAATTTGTTTATCAATGATTTATAGATGCATTTTTTTTTTGCTTGTTATTAATAAGGTATGGTTGATGATATTTAGACGGTGGGCCATCTGAGGTC